AAAAAAAAAACTCGTCACATCTTACGGTATAGAGCAACCTCTCCCGTAAATCACAGCAGCGTGGAAACTAGAGGAACAATGCGTTAAAATGCTCTTTGTTTTGTACAAAAATGACGATATGATCTGAATAATAATAAACAATTAGGAGTTGTTACAGAATGAAATCGAGAATAGTTTTTAATTCACCCGTATAATTAAAGGAAATTCACCCGCTGCGTCCACGTGATATGTGCAATAAACAGAGGACAATGCATGAGGTGGATGAGTCTACCTGGATGCTGCAGGAGACCTCGGAGTCGTCCAGTAACCGGATCGTGCAGAGGACCTCCTGGTCCAGGGAGCGGATGCTGGGGCTGCGAAACCGGAGCATTTTCATCCTCCTGTTCGGTTCTGTTTCAGCTCCTCATGTCAGCGGATCCACGGGCAGACCAGACGCATATACAAGGAGGACTCACGCATACACGCGCATACATGTATGCGCCTTTCGGTCGGGTCTTGTGTCACTCCCTTGTGACGCCCTTGGGAGTGAATGGGTGGATGGACAGATGGGTGGATGGAGGGATGGATGGATGGAGGGTTAAGAGAATGGATGAATGCAACAGAGCGGGAGGGAGGAGAGCTTGCATCCGTCTCCTGCCTGCCTACTGATGGATCTACAGGAGGGAGGATGGCTTTTTCCCTCTCTCTCTCTCTCTCTCTCTCTCTCTCTCTGGTTCGCTCACCCCCACTTTTTTCCTCTCTCTTTCCAAATTTCAGCATGAACCTTCACATTGTAATTATTGATCCCACGTGTTTGGTGACAGAACCGCCCTGTGGAATTTGAAACACCCTTTTACAATGTCAGGTTTTCATAATTCAGAAACACAATTTCACTCACTCATTTCATGTTTTTCCAAGTTTTAAGGGCTCCTGAACTCATTATTCTAGAGGCAACTGATTGTGCTAATATATACAGATTCCCAGGTGCATATAACAGTCATATTGCACTGCCTTCAACTTGTGCATAATGTGAGTTTGTGTACATATCTGCGTTTACCTGTGAGATTTTGAGAAAAGTATGTCATAAAGTGATCGAGCCTCGTGATCAGAAAACAAGAAACCGCTGCGGTCAAAACTCACCTGATCTGTGAGCTCATTTTATTCTCATCAATAATGACGTCGACAGTTTCGCTGCGACGTAATCTGACAAGTGTTACAGAACGCGACGCTGGCCCTTTAAGTGCGGACGTAGCCGATGTGCTACGTGCGTCATCACGTACTGCAGCAAAACAACCTGCGGCCATGGTGCTCTTCTTTTTTTTTATTTTTTTAACATCCGTATGGTACAAGCTGGCAGTGGGAACAAGTCATTTAGGAAGCATATTGACTCCACTGGACTTATTCTGTGTTTCTTGAGGTTCAGTTTAGTTTTTTACTGTTTACTTTTTCGCTTCGTATCCTCGTAGTCACGAAAAGTTAGGAGTTGTTGACATGTCAGCACTATAATAAGCTATGGTAGGCTACACCTGTGAATGAACGACTGTGTGAGTAAGAGCTCAGCATCTACGGATGCACCACCGGTTCATTTGTAACGGTACACGAGCACTGATACTATTACTACACATTCCTGTTTTAGAGGCGATTTTTTGACCATGTCAGCATTTATAAAATTCATTTTCTTCTTTAATCCATTTCAGGACAGGAGCTGTCTGTGGGTGTCTAAAGATCAGACAGACAGGATGATCTACATCATAATGGGAGTCTCGGGCTGTGGAAAGTATGTTTACTGTCTTAGTTTCAATAATAGTTTTTGTTGTTTTTATTATAATATAGAGGTATTTGTCAGATTAGGTATTGTAATACAAACACATTGACTCACAGTCACAATAAACACCAGTGCCTCCTCTGGTGTGCTGATTTGACCAAATTAACCAAACCAAACTAAAGACATTTCCTGTATAATTTTTATTTTATTCTAGTTTGTTTTGTAAGTAAAATGTATTGTTTTAGCTAGTTTTTAGTTTTTTTCCTAAAGTCTTATTTCAGTTAACTAAATGGTTGTTTTTTTACACCTTGTTTTAGTTTTTAGTTTAGTTTTNNTAGTTTTAGTTAACTATAATAATAACCTTGGCACATAGTAAATTAGTTGATTAGTTACCTGAGGAAAAAGATGCGTAAATGCTTTGGAGAAAATAAATTTGATAGTTGCTGAGTGATCATTAGGTGGTAGTTTATCAGCTATTAATGTTACATATTGGTTGCAGCGTTAACAGTAAACTAACTGCAGCACAGTGCTGTAAGGGTTGTAATTTATTTGTAATTTAACACCAAAGTAACACAGTAGAGCTGCAACTAATAGTTATTTTCAACATCTCATAATCTGCTGATTCCTTTCTCGGATTCATAGATTAATTAAATTAGTACATAGTCACAAATGGTAATCGCAGTGTCCTAAAGCCCAGGGCGATGGCCTCAATGTATTGTTTAACTTAAACTCACATAATCTGTCACAACTGGGGTAATACTGAGCTTTTTGCTTTATTTCTTGATTATCAATATAGCTGCTGACTCATTGTCACAAACAGACTAAACTGTGTCTGACAGTAAAGTATTGGCCTAAAGCAGGCGATCAGATCAGTGGTTTTAGGTAAATCATAACTGCACTTAATCAATTCTGTCTTTTCTTATACAGAAGCACTTTAGGGGCCTTACTATCAGAAAAGGTAATTGGATCCATCCCCCTTCCTACACACACACACAC